AGGCTTCTGATATAATCTGTTTATTTGTCTTTTCCTGGGATTTTGTTGATGTTTGAGGCTTTCATCTATGTCTGAAGTTTTTTCAATATTTATCAAACTCGTGGCTTGCATCTTTAGCTGTTTTAAGTGCATTGATTGGCTTTCTTTAAGATTGCATCTTTATAATGCTGAATGTTATCTTTCTGATCCTTTATAGTTTCCATCATGTTGCATCTTTATCATGCTGAATATCTGTTTTCTCCTTTATAGTCAAAATAAAAACTTGTTGCATCTTTAATATGCTGAATGTCTGAAGTCGATATTATGTTGCATCTTTCTCATGCTAAAGAGTTGTCATCATGAAAACAACAACCTATTACGTGTAAAACAATGTTTCACATTCTCCCTCTTTTTGATGATGACAACACATCTTCCAGGGGAGGTGGTAAAAGAAATAAAGCAATATATATTTTAGAGTGATAACACTCTCTCTGAATTAGATAGAGCGTATACCATCCCTCTGAGAGTATACTTCTACCCCTTTGTTAAAATAAAAAAAGGAGGGTAAAAGATGCAAATATATTATATTCATCTATAGCACAAGATGACAAAATAATGTAGTAATATCAAACATCACAACAAGGATAAACCATATGGCATGTTTTGCAAATTGTCAAAAGCATGTAGCAACGAGACACATTTATGCATGACAAAGATCATGTTATATAAAAAAGCATAAAAGAAATCATTCTTGATTAGAAAAATATGTTTAGTCATGGTATAACGATTTATCAAGTGCAAGTATAAGCATATATGTAATGCAATCAATTTTCAAGGTTAATGTAGCAATAACATGTCATAATGCATAGAAAATATTTAGCAGACATATCATGAAATAATACCACAAAGCATGTATATGTCACAACAAGTGTCACAACCTAATTCTTATATGTGGAACAAGTTTTCCTAGTTATGTGCAAAACAAGGGTTTTTTATCAGGCATGTTTAAAGGACAACCAATGTGGCAATATAAGCAAGAATAAATCATGTGATAAATCAAGATAAATATTGAACAATTTATAGAATGCTAAGACAAACAAGAAGTCATGCATAACAAGGATTTGAATCATGTCATATCAAGAAGCATGTGTTTTGACAAAATAATACTTCCCTAAAAATGTGTTTAGACATGGCATAATGTTTTTATCATATGTAAGTAACAAGATATTATAGCAAAGACATTATGGCATAGCAAATATATTATACTTAATAAACAACAAGATTCCCTAAAGCGTACATGAAAACATGACATTTGTTCTAGGCTAAAACATGGTATTAAGCAAAAGTTATTTTATCATGGTATAATAAGGAAAATATCATGCTTAGTACAAAATAACATATTTATCCTAAACTAGGTTTCCTAATATTTTGTCATGGCATAATTGCATATAAGATACATATGACAGAGATAATGATGAAACATATATGTGGTATATGCAATATTACTCTAGATATGGATCTAAGGTTCCTTAAAACATGTATAAACTTTTCATCTTAAGGTGTGCTTAGCAATGATATTCAAAACATGGTCTAGGAAGTGTCATACTTGATGAAATTTTTTTATTTTTAAGTGTGTGACACAAGATTTTTGCAAGATTCTAATGGTGTCTTATAATAGTTTTTAATAAAAAATAATGTATATATTATAATGTTTTATATGAAGCGAATAAAAGGTATAAAAGACATTTATGAAATCATACTTATATTATTGGATGAGAAATAGTATTACAAGACGAAATAAAACATGAAGAGAATATATAAAGCCAACAATTTTTAGTTCATCATCTAATCATTATCTTCACTAGAGGCTAGAGAAAAGATGAGGTTCTTCCTAACCATTTTCTCGATGAGCAAGTTAATCTTTTCATTCATTTTTCTTTGCTCTTCAAGGGTGTTAATGTTAGAGCTAAATGAAGAAGTGTTCCTTCTTCCCCTTGATTGTTAGACCATAAATTCTCCTTGTTGAATTGTGAAGTCCATTTTGTTTATTGCGGTTCGTTCTATCTTTATGTGCTCAAAGATAAGTTCTTCCTCTCCAAAGGGATATTCAACGTGTTTGAGTATTTTGGTGATGAGTTTAGCATATGACAAAATATTGTTCTTTCTTTTATTATCAGGCATATGAGCAAGAACTGCATCTACCCAATTTTTCGGAATTTGATTATGAAGAAACCAGACAATAGGTGATATCTGATCTTGAAACAATGTTATAGTTGTTTTTTCTTGGAAACAAGATCCAACCAGTGGTGTAATGAATTAACCTAATGTTTGATTGAATGACTCCTATAATGAATGGAGAAGGGATAGAGGAGATATAATTGCTGAGGAAGGAATGAGCAAGAGAATCAAGATTAATTTTAATAATATTTAATGTAAAAATAATTATAATATCAACTAATCGAAGTCATTTATTACTTTATACTCTCTCCTTCCCAAATTATAATATATTTTGGACATTTCACACAAATTAAAAAACATAATTAAAGTTGTATAGGAAAGAAAAATTATATATAATTTTATAATATTTTTCTTCATTTATTACTAATAAAAAAAATTTAAATAAGAGTGATACTAACATGTGCCATTAACATGCGTCTCAAGAGCAACATGTGCCCTAAAGACATATCTTAATTAGGGCACATATTAAAAACTAAATATAAAAATATATTTTTTGAAAATTGAGTACTGCTTTTATCATATATTTAAAATTAATTTTTTAAATATTTTTTCACTACAAACTTTCCATTTATAAATATTTAACCATTTCCTCTTTTGACACATATTATCGTTATCAATTAAAAAAAGAAATATTAATAAATGATAGAATTTGTATGGAGAAAAATGTCATTTATATTGAAATTATCAATTATAATTTCGATACTTTTTTAATAAAATGACAATAATTTAAACAGAGAGTATAAATAATTATAATTAAAATAAAATATTATTATAAATAATAATTAAATAAGAGATTAAATGTAGTGTACGATAAGTGTAAATTAATTTTAAACTATTATTTAATATTCTCTCTGTCTTATATTATAAATAAATTTCACTTTTTTAAATTTATTGAATAATTAATATATCTATCTATAGATCAGATATATTAATTATTCAATAAATTTAAAAAGAAGAAATTTGCCTATAATATATGACGGAGTAGTATAATTATAACATTCAACTATTTCATGTCAATATTTTAAAATTAAATATATAATTTAATAGAATATATATACGTGATTGGTTGATTTACACTGTCGGTCATACTCTTTTTTATCATATCATTATAAAATTCTACAGACAATTAATATACATAAATTAAAATATTTTTTTAGTCAACTTTATTTCACTTTCAAAATATATTTTATATATTAATATATTAATTTATAAGTAATTAATTTCTATATGGTGTATTTTTTTATAGGCGCATCTAATATTTTGTAAAAAACCCTAATGTAAAATTTTTGCAGTTTTTTGACGTTATCATTCAAAAACGAACAAAACCAACAACGGCAGTTTCATTCTCACACTACTTAATCATCATTTTCCATTTCCATTTCATTTTTTTCTTCTTCAATTCACTTCAGCACCGTTCTTTCAGGTTCTTTCTCTTTCTCTCTCTTGATTCTTCATATTCCCATTTTACCCCTTTCTCTTTCTCTCTACTTTTTTTCTGCTTCTGCTATCAATAATCCCTTTTAGATTCTCGCTGATTTCACTCTAACCCTTTCTCAAATCTCAAAATTTTCACTGTACTCTTTCCCATTTCCGATAATTTTTATTTACACTGGGGGATTTTCTCTTATTTGTGTGAAGGGAAATGTAGAATTTTATGTATGTTGGATTTCACATTAGTTTCAGAGTTGTCTTTGACGCCGTGTTAGACGGGTTACTGCACGGTGCCCAAAATTTGGCATGTCTTTGAGGGCGTGCCCTCGGGTCCCAAAGTTTGATGTGGTTAAATTGTGGCTAAGACCACCCTGAATAGTTTGTGTTGTACTTTTTATTCCATTCAAAGGGAGGGTATACGTTTTGGTCTTTAAAGTGAGAAAGATAGTTGTCTGTTTTATTTTATTTTTAAGCGAAATTGGGAGTAATGCACATTGGAGCAATTGATTTTTAAAGAGTAATTTACAAGGAAATAGTTTGCAACATTTACGGTGGAAGATTTTGAAGTGTACTAGATTGAGAATGTGGGAAAGAATAAGTGTTAACCGATAGCAAGTTGGGGATAAGGAGTGTGAATATTGGTTATGGTTTTTGAAATTATTGGATGGTAGGCAGAGACTTGCAAATTGAGAGTTAGCATAGAATGATTTGTTTTGAGAAGTGAGAATGATGAGATATATGGTCTTGTACAGTTCTTCTATGGCACTTTCAAAATTGCAAAATTGGTCAACAGTTTAAAATTGGTTATTGGCAGTTATGAATAGTTATAAAGAAGTGAGATGAGATGGCTAGACTTTAGACCGTAACGAGTTTATTCATGCGACACCAATAGTCCCCTTGTAGATGGGAAGGAAATAGTTGAAATAAAACATACATTATTGCTTTGCAGTTTGCTTACATGTTTGTAGATTTAGATTTGTTTTATTAAGTTTTTAAAATATGTCTGTGTCTTTGAATTGAGCAATTCATTTGAGATTAACTCTGTTTGACAGTCTAAATGGAACAAGTATTGAACATCATTCCAATGCTAAGTTCTGTCTTGTTGCACAAGGAAAATATATTTATGCATTATTTCTCAATATGCTAACTATGATTTGAATTTGAAGCCTAAAGATTGAGATAGCTTTTTATTTGATGTTTTTCATTATTTTACTTCAAGCTGACAAACTGTTCTTTCATGCTATAGCAAAGTATGTCTTTGAAGGAAGCAAGGAAATCTTGAAAAAGGTTGAAATTTATGGTTTGAGACCCAGGCTGATAACATAGGAATATCCAGTATTATATCAGATTCCATGCCCGTCATGAAAAAGGTTTTTTAATGCTGTCTTTCATTAGTCCTTCTCTTCAGTTCCTTATAATCTGTGGCGCATGGACTCTGACATAGACACGACACAAACACCCTCCATTAATGTTAAAAACATAGGACACCAGCACCGCTATATAAATGATAGTATTTGATTTTCCCTTATCCATTTATTATCAAAAAAGTTAAAAAATTTCTAACCAAAATTAATGTACTACTTGGTCTTTAATTGATAACATTGTTTCAATACATGTTTAATTCTTTTAGATGTTTGTGAGAATTGTCCATAAAATGTATAAAATGTTATCTTTAATTGATAACATTGTTAAGTGAGAGTTCCTTTCCTTTTCTGTTTAACAGAATTCTGAGCAAAATCGTTTTGAAGCTGTATTCAACAAGCTGCTGAGTCAGATTGGGGAACCTGTTGACTTTGAACTTCCAGATTGGATTAAGATAAGAACAACACAGTACACCCATATAAAGCGCAGTATCCTTTATAAATGTCAGTCAAATTGTTCACAATAACTGTTTTATCTCTGACATATACAGTATTGCCCTTGCTTGATGAGCGTCTTTGTCTACTTTGGCAAATATGATATTCGATCTTCGTTTGTTTTTAATTTCTTCATTTCTTCTGAATATTCGATCTTGTTACACATTTTGTTGATTCTTATTAAAATTTAAGATATATATGTCACTAAGAAGAACAAGAGAAAGTTTGATGATGGCATATTCTGCTCCTGCGAATCTTCACCTGACTCTACTAATGTATGCGGTAGAGATTGTCAATGTGGGTAAGTAACTAAGTATTCTGTGTCGAAATACGTCATGGCATTTTTCATGCGTTGGCTAGCATTCCTTATGTTCACTGTCGTCCATGTAGGATGCTTCTGTCATGCTGTTCTTCAGGCTGCAAATGTGGGGTCTTGTGTCTCAACAAAGCTTTTCAGCATCGCCCTGTGAAAAAGCTGAAATTGGTTAAGGTATAATCACTTATTCCTCTCATGATGTTCATACCTGACATAATGAGTTTTAATATTTTGCTTGTAGACTGAGAAATGTGGCTCCGGAATTGTGGCGGATGAAGATATCAAGCTTGGGGAGTTTGTCATTGAATATGTTGGAGAAGGTAATGATTAATTGTTTTCATGATAAACACATGATAGAACGATTATTCTATTCTTTTAAAACCTATTTATGGATGCTATTGTTACCTCTTTCTACAGTCATCGATGATAAAACATGCGAACAAAGGCTCTGGAATATGAAAGATCGTGGGGAAACAAACTTTTACTTATGTGAAATCAATCGAGATATGGTGATAGATGCAACAAATAAGGGAAACAAATCAAGATATATCAATCATAGTTGCAACCCGAATACCGAGATGCAGAAATGGTTTACTTTCTAATTTTAGTATTATTTTGTATTTTGTCCAACATTATAGGATTGAATAGTTTAAGCACATCATCTAACAAACACATCTTCTTTTTATTGTTTTCAATCTTAAGGATAATAGAGGGTGAAACAAGAATTGGTATATTTGCAGCTCGTGACATAGAGAAGGGCGAGCATCTGACTTATGACTACCAGTATGAGCACTTTTTCTATTACACCCTTTAAGGCCCTGTTTGGATAACTAGCTTGTTAAGCGCTTATAACAACAATTTCTTATGTATAAGCTATTCTTATAACAAAAGAAAATAAAGTCAAATTGTTTTCTTATAAGTTGTTTTCAAAAGCTATCTTGGAAAGCTTATGAAAACAAGTTTGACATGACTTATGAACAAGTCATAAAACTATTCTCATAAGTGCTTATGCCAGCAACTAAACTCAAATAAGTTAATCAAACCTGCCTCTCTTCTGTTGGAAAGTTTGGTGTCTAGAATGATGTTAGTATGACTCTGTTGTAGTGATGGTGAATTCTAACTTTCTAATTGCATCGCAGGTTTGTTCAATTTGGTGCAGACCAAGATTGCCACTGTGGAGCTATTCAGTGTAGGCGTAAACTGGGTGCACGGCCTACCAAGCCTAAATCAGATGCTGCATTAAAATTAGTTGCATATCAGGTGGCGTCATCTTCTCTCAAATAGAGTAGATATGTCTAAATAATATCAAAGTACTAAAACCATACTGAATTTCAGCTTATTTCTGTTATTTCGAAGCTCTGTTGTGAGCTAATGCTTTTGAATTGGTTGAATAAAAATATTAGACCTGTGATTAGGATGTGTCTTCCCATATGTGCTGAATGATTTGTTCAGTATAGTTGACGGTGGTTGGAAATATATTTAAGATTTAGTTATTCTATATCATCATAGAATGAAATTGCTGAAGTTAGTGACGTCTGGTGAGAAAATAAAAAACCTATTGATTTTTGTAATTTTATTCAAAATCAGATTTCGTGTGTATCATACATCTTTTTACCAGATTGCTGTAGTAACTTGTGAATTCTATAGAGACAGATTTATTTTATTTGCTTTGATTTGCAAAATTCTTATATGGACTGAAGGGAGGGGAGGTAGTTTATTTCAAAATCATTTAACCCCAAAAAGGGTGACATAATACTTTTTTTCCGTCATACCTATCTTTGGGGGTATGCGTTTGTGTTTTGAATGCATATCAATTCCCTTTTATTCCCTTTTATCGGGAGATTTTCTTGAAATCAACGAGCATGATTTGCCTTACTAAGTTCTGCATTTGGTGTTGCCATTTCAGTGTTGGAAAAATAAATCTATTTCACCAAATAATTACTACAAATAACAATGGGGGTTACAATTAGGCTTGAAGTATGATATGTGGTTTTTTACTCTTTTCACCCATAGTTAAAATTGGGCTTAATGAATGAACCATTGAATAAGTAGATTAAGATTTAATATATATATATTTTTTATAAATGTGGCTATATTTCTGAGAATGGACTAAAAATGCTGGAACACTGAATAAAGATAGGTTAGCCTTGCAGTTCAGAGGCTGAACCTTGTCATGATGGTAAGATTGCTGCGATGTGACCCTGAGAATAGGTCACAAGTTCTATTCACAAAATTATTGTTAACGTTTCTGCCTTGTGACCAGTCATGAGTTCTTGTTGCAAAGACTACTTCGTTTGAAGTCATAGGGTTTAGTCCTTTATTTATATACTAAAGCTTAATTAATATATAACCTTACATAAAACCTAATTCTTAGATGATGAAGCTTAGAACATAGAACATTTAAGTTCAGATAAAAACATGTTGAAGTTGTAGGATTTAGACCTTTAGATATATTTAGAAAAAAAGGCTCTTTTATTATATAAAACAGAACATGAATTTTTTCTTTAAATTTTTCTAAAACTAAATGCTATTTTATTTAAATAAGGAAACAAATCATCATATAATAAATAAGGTAACATAAAAACTAATCCGAAAAGATAGCAAATTAATCTAAAGCTATGATCAAAGGATTAATTCGAAAAGATAATATCTAAGTTAGTCTAAGCTATGATCAAAGTATTACACTAATAGTCTCCCTCATTTTCAAGACTGTTCTACCTTCTAAAAAATGAAATTAAAAAAATTTGAGATTGGATTTGTGAAAATGATGGGGCTTGGCGAGTCTATATCACATTTGGGAAAGTGATGGGGCTAGAGGTTACATTGAGTTTAAAAGTTTAGGAGAGGTTCCTATTAGGATAAAACGACTTCTATGACACATCTGGGTTAAAGTGCATCTAGAATAGCTGGATTAGAGCGCCTCTTGGATAGCCAAAGCAAGACTATTTCTCTTGGATAGCTTGTGTTAGACTGATTTTGTGAGATCGATGAGGCGCGACTGCATTTGTAGCAATTGGGGCCACAAAGTCGTGGAGATATTGGCGTTGTTACATGAATACTAAATTTTCGAGAACTCCTCTACAAAATAGTGATAAGAGAGGGGTTACAAAAGATGATACGACAATCATATGAATTTGAAGATAGGGTTCAATCTTATAGGTATAAAGGAAGAAAAAGGAAAACTCAAATGAATTATATTGATCGATATAATGTGAATGATACGTCGGATGTCATTATTACAAAAACAAAGGGCGCCCGTCTTATTTCTACTAAAATTTGATTCCTAATACAAATTAAAGTTAAATAAGGAAACCAATCCTTAATGATAATGGAATTAAATCTAAATTACTCCCAAGATATGACTTGTGGGGAGATCCTTCTATTGCACTCACATTATCCACACTTCATACGATCAATGGAATCGAGATTTGACCTAGATAGTCAGATGACCAATCGTGAGCATGAGGAGAGTGTTTTGAGAGTTTCACATCGAAGAGATTTGACCTGGATAGTTAGATGACCAATCATGAGCATGAGGAAAGTGTATTGAGAGGCCCACTTCGAATAGAGATTTACCTAAATAGTCACATGACCAAAAGTGAGCATGATGAGAGTGTGTTGAGAGGCCCACACATCTAATAGAGATATGGCCGAGATAGTTAGACGACCAATTGTGAGTATGATGGGGGAATGTGACGAGAGGCCCCATCAGATAGAGATATGACCTAAATATTACACTTCATGTTTTGGTCAGTTGAGGCCATAAATCGACATTTCCATTTATTGCCCGGGCTTGTGCGTCTTTGAGTCTCATTGGCACCTTGGTATTTGAGCCCAAATGATGCACTTGGCCTATGTAGGCTTGCTCAGAATCCACCACGCCATCGCAGACAATTGAAAACACAACGGCCCACATTGCAGAAGGAGGACTGGTTATGAAATACTTGGTCATATTAGCTTTGATACATTGGCAAAGACCAACTTCTAATAGCGAACTATTAGGTGATGGTCCATGAATGATTTTATATCTCCATTGGCAAAGACTAACTTCTAATAGCGAACTATTAGGTGATGGTCCATGAATGATTTTATAACTTCATCGAATAGAAAATTTGGGGCTTTGATTACGACAAGTAGGATCATTCTCTAGAAAACCTAATTGCAGATGCACTATTCCTTTTTAGAAAGGAATGGCCGTTATTTCATTGAATGAAATTTCTCTTTATAATGATTATAACCAAACTTTCTATCCTCTCACTTGTCTTCTCCATCTCACTATTATTGCATTCAATCATGCAGCAGTGCCTATCTATAATTATCTGCCTTTTCGACTAATTCTGGCGTTTTGTTGTGTCCAAAGGTTTGTCAAAATGGAGGCTTGCAAATTGGTCAAATTGGTAAGCTTCTTTCTTTCTTTTATTAGTTATGTAAAAACTATTTGATTTATATGCTATCATTTTTTTTTGTCTTCTACACTATAAAACATTCATTTTTTATGTTCTTGGTTTTACAGGAAGTTCCCGGGTGGTTGACCAAACAAAATGCTTACACAATTGTGTTGATGAAGTTATCATGATTAAACAACTTGGAAATGTCAGGTATGTTAAAATTGCGTATTTTATAATTGTGATATTATCCATATGAAGACTGATACTATCCTTGATTGAGTATTTTTGAATCGTGATATTATTCTTATGAAGATTGTGATACTATCCTTATTGATCAAACTAGTGTCACACCCTCTTACACTCCATCGAACACTTTCTCATGTATGAAGCTGGACCATCCCTTTTTAGTTTTTCTTCACCTTCAATCCGGTTGTACAAGTCGAGAGACAACAACACTGTCCTCTCCACAAGCTTCATGGTTTTGCAGGTCTCTTGTGTTTTGCTCCATTTCCCGCCATTGTCTCTATCAGAGCTCCTGTGGTGTTTCTGTCTCATTGCCTCTGTCACGAGCTCTATTGCCTTTTTTACTTTTTAAGCTCTATTGTATTTGTCGCAACATTCTCTTTTGTTCTGTTTAATCCCTTTTTCTATTAATGTTCTTATTTTGTTATAACTGATGTTAAATATAATATATATTTTTTAATGCTACAGATTTGGGATTATTAAATGGTTTGATGCATATACCCTCAAACATAAGGTAAGGGATTATGCGGTCGATTTTGACAATTTAAATGAAAATTGTGATTAGATATGAATAATAACCATTTACTTTATCAGATCATGTTTGAGGATGGTTGTGTTGAAATTCATGACATGTCAAAAGAAGATTGGGAACTAGTGAGATTGTGATGCAACAACTAGGCAAGATTGGAGACATTATTCTTTCATTGCATGTGTATAGTTCTTGTATCAATATCAAACAGAATACGAAGAATACGAAGATGGATACATCAACACAAGTCTTCATGATTGAATGTTGAAAGTAATAACTTGTTTTGTTTTAGTTTTCTTCTGGATTCCAAGTCCTGTTGTATTCTATGCAAATCCTGATTGTACTGTAAAATGAGGAATCATGGTTCTTCATAAACAGGGATTTTGCAATTGTTGTTGTATTGTTTCTTTTAACCATTTTTTAGTATTAGGAATTCAAAACTTAGTGATGAATTTAGGGGTTTCTATGGGGGAGAAAAGCTTGATTTTTTTTGGTTGGTATTCAATAAAGATGGAATTTTTCTGCTGGCTTAGAGTTAGACTTTTGTATTTTTAATATATTCATTTTGGTTAAATGCTTGATCTTTGTTTCATTTTTGTTTATGTTGAACATTGAACATTTTGGCTAATAATTGTTCTAAAGAAACACACCATTGTCATGTGAAAGCTACAGCCAATTTGATCCAAAAGTGATAAAACTTTTCTAAGAGAGCATTGCCACTTACAAATCAGAGAATAGTGAAGTGATTGATTTGCACTTGGATATTTCTAAATGAATTTGTTGCGTTTTATTTTTAAGTGAAAGTATTTAGACTTTTCTAATAATTGTTGTTTCTCAAAGACTAATTTTGTTCTGGGCTGTTGGCAATGTCCACAATGATTCAAGGGAATTTTTTATCCCACTCTATATATCTGAAAGAATATCCTATGTAAATCTAAAAATGTCTTTCAATTTTTGAATATGTATCTTCCTGGATGCACATTTATTTGGTAAACGTTAGGTTGTTTCGGAGATACATCTCTGTTTTTATATTAGAAAGCATTCTGAGATGTATTCATATCCAATAAAAAAAGTAAATTCTAAGTTTTTTTCAGTGATGCTCAGATGAATTAGTCAGAAGGTATACTATGATGAATTAGATAATACAAAGAATATGTAAAAAATGACGTATATAAAGTTATAAACTAAGAGTACATAAATTCAATCCAAAAGGTATCGATGTTAATAAATAAAATATAATTTAAAATAAATCCAGAATACAAGTACTATAATCTATTATGTATGACAGATTCGAACTCGGTCTTGTGACCCCCCGTTTCTATGCTGCCTCCTGTACTGCAGTGCCTCCCGAGCCTCCGTCATCATGACATATACAACGTCCCTCACCTCAAAGCCACATGGAAAGAGTCCTCTCTCAATACTTGCTGTGGCGGAAAAAATTGAGATTAAACTATTGATTAACTTAAGTAAAAAAAATAAGAGTCGCACCGAACTTTATTGTTTCCAAAGGAAAGGGAAAATATCGAGAAAACCCAATGCAAAAATAAAACAAAAGAGAGATCTATATACGGAAGTTAGTTATGCAAGAGAAATGTATTATCACCCTTTACATCTATGATACTCCATAAGAACCTCTTCAAAATCTGTGTTATGATAAAATCATATTGTTTGCAAAAAGATTGGGGTGATGAGAAAAGAAATATTTTTTTATATTATTTTTGTGCTCGTCAAGACTTCAAGAGTTTTGTGCCTACGTATCCTCCATGTGCAGTGAAAAAGTCAGAGTCTCGTAGTTCGTGGTAAAAATAACCATAAAAATTTGTTGATTGATTTTAAATTGAAAAGACATTTCGTCGTATTCGAGTGGAAAACACAACTTACTACCCACATATATGAGAAAGTGAGCATTTACATCATCTTGTATGGAGAACTTTTACTTGGACTTTCTCACAAGCATGTCTCAATATTCAAGTGAAAAATATCAATCACTTCACAACATATTATAGAAGTATAGTAGTTTACATCACTACTAGAATAGACTAATATCCAATCTTTTAAAAAGGTTTAAAAGAAAAGTGCACAAATGCACAATTTTTTATGAGGTTTGTCTTTTTTAGAAGTTTTGAAAAGAGTTTGAATATGTTTAAGTGTTTTAGCATTTATTAAGAAAAGAAATTTTCGAGATCACTTGACAAAGTTAAGGTTTATTAAGAAAATATTTGAAGTTTGAAGAAATAAGTTTTGAAAAATAGGGAGAATGAAAATTGAAGAAGTTGGTAGGAGATGAAGAGACTTTCCTAAAACATAAAATAAATGACATAAAATAAAAGGTCTCATTGTAAAGTAGCCCAAGAGAAAGCCTTTGTGTGTGCAAGTGTACTAACTACAAAATGGAGCAAGCATTTGACATTGGTCAAAATGGATATACCATTCCTTTTGGATTAAGCCACAAGATAAGTAAATCACATAAGCAAACACATAAGTAGATGAATCATCAAGAGTAAACTATGGAAACCGATGAACACTAAATGATCCAGATGAAATTCAAGGTCACAAAGTCACAAAGAGAATTCCATGTCTTCAACTAAAGATCAAAGTTTCTCAGAATAAGATCAAGTCTTGAATTAAAGTTTAAAGGTCCAAATGAATCTCAAAGTATCAGATACAACACTCCAAGCAAAGGAAAGGACCAAGTCCTAAGGTTCAAAGTCCAAAATACTCATCAAGCAAGGGATAGTAACACAAAGTCCACAAGATCAGATGAAAGTCTTTTTAGAATTTTACCTATTTTATCATGTTTGTGTTCTTTTTGAAGCAATAAAGCAAGAGAAGCAAAAATATAAAAGGCATAAAGTATAAAGGCAAAATGAAAATGGCAAGAATGTAAATGACAAGAATGTAAATGGAAATGAAAGTAAAGATCATAAAAGTAAAAGTTAGATGTTAACACAATTAATATGTCAATGTTAGTGTTAATGAGGAATTAACCGAGTTGGGATAATTTAGCGCTATGTTAAATAATCGTAAGTGGAATTACGTAAAAGTCACACCTATGTGAGACCGGGCAATAGCAATTTATGTGTCATACATGTTAGATGAATAATACAAAATCCTCCTCCTAAAACAATGTAACACAATGATAAAAAACAAAAGTAAAAAGAAGAAGATGCAGAAGAGAGATGATCAACCACATTGGAAATATACAAAGGATCATTTATCATCAATTTCAATCATTCCAACTCATAATGCAATGAGATAAACTTATCATTAATCCAAAGTACCAAAAATGATCAAATGATCATTTAAATGATAAGTTTGAAATGATGAAAGTTCACGCAACCAAAGCATCATTCAAAGACCAATTGAAATTGATGAAGCATTGATCAACCAAGTCATGATCCAAGTCAACAAAAGTCAAAGCAGAAATGGATTAAAAAAATGATTACAATGACTTTAAAAAATAAATTAAATAGAAAATTCCAAAGAGGTATCAAAACAAAAGATAAATTTCCAAAACAATTTGAAAAATTCAGAAATGTTACAAGTAATAGATCTCAAAAGTTTGAGTGAAATATATTTCAAAATGTATGAAAATTAATTATTAAATGAAAATTAAAAATAAAAAAGAAATAAAATAGCGAAAAATGCTAAAAATGATTTTTAAATTCTAAAAAAAAAGTATGTGGTAGAAAATGTTTTTAGTGATTTATGAAAAAAAAAGGAGTAAAAAAGGTCAAATGAACTATTTAATATAAATCAGAAAGTAAAAAAGAAATAAAATGAATTAAAAACAAAAAAGAAAATAAAAAAGGCCAACGACTAGATGCGTGTCAAGCATTCATTGGCTGGAATTTGAATTTCCTACCAAAGCGTGCACAAAGCTTCATCATCTTCAACCTTGGTTCAATTTTTACAGATTCACGAACTCTGAGTTTTAAGGTCAAACAACACACGTTTGTGCTTCTACTCATATCATCGTTCATGTCTCTCTGAATTAGAGCCTTTTATTGGCTCTGAGTATAGAGAGTTTTCTCATAAACACGAAGAAATCTAGTTCTTCAAAGTAAAATTAAATGAAAAATACGAACAATAAATTCTTGGTAAGTGAGGGATTTGAATTAGTGAATCAAGACGAAGAGTGTGGTAACTGGTTTGTTCAGAAATTTAACTCGTATCTCCCTATCCAGTTGAAGCTTCGAAGGTCAACAATGGTGAAATCAAGTTGAAGGTTGCAGGAGGTTTCAAGCTTCAATGATGCTTAAGTTAGATTCAGATGGTGCCGATGAGGGATTATGGGTAGAGATTTGAAGTTAAAATAAGCTTAAAATGAAAAGTGGGTTTCTGGTTTTTGAAGCTTTTCGTGAGTGAAAATAGAAGAGGTTAAGTGGTTTTCTAAGCTTCTAAATGAAGGAAAAATGATCCTCTATTTTTGAGATGTTCTTTGTGACAAATGATATCCTCATGATGAAGAATCACATCAAAATGATGCTTGAGTTGAAAATGACATGGATGACAAGTTCAGGTCATGACCTGATTTTTTTGGGTTAGGCAAAAGGTCGAACCAGGTTTTGGACCAACTTTTATGCACATATAGGCATCTTGTACAATTCTAAAATTGACGGACTTAGAGGAAAATTTGATGTTTAAACCTTGAAACAAAGTTGTAGAGGGGTTTAAATATGACATTTGGCTTGGAGTAGATTCCAAAATATTGAGAAATGAGAGAGTTATGGTGTTTGGACCAAGTGACATGACATACTTGGTTTTAGGTCAATCAAATATGCACTAACTTATAATTTTTGGTATTTTATTGAATCCAAAGGGAAAATAATGAACACTTGAATACCAAGTGAAAGAATCTTGATTATCCCTTGAATAATCTTGGTAATTGCTTGAGAATTGGATGGAGATGGCATGAAAATTAACACATGAACCATACTTGAATAAACTTTGAAATCATGAACCATACTTGAATAAACTTTGAAATCATGCACCAAACTTAAACTTTTGTTGACCAAATGAAATTGAAAGAAGCTTGAAATGAATGTGACCTAAGATTATAGATCATTCCTTGAAGGAAAAACTATTGTGGACCACTTGTTGACCAAAAGTTTGACCTTAGGAACCAAAACCCTAA